TCATACATTTACCTCGACAGCAGCTGCTCGGTCAATGAATGCTGAATCTTTCCGTATAAGGAAACGGCTAATAGAAACATTACCATTAGATAATAATTCCTTCTATTATTTCGACCTATTGCTCTCATCTTCATTCATATAGATGCCATTATGGACACGAGGTTTCGACCAAGTAACCTCTGGTCATCATCAGGTGTCCATTGATTGTCTGATATGGGATGTCTGTTAATTATTGTGATATTTACGGCTAATAGTAACATTACCATTAGATAATAATTCATTCTAGTATTTTGACCTATTGCTCTGATCTTCATTCATATAGATGCTATTATGGACACGAGGTTTCGACCAAGTAACTTCTAGTCATCATCAGGTGTTCATTGATTATTGTGATATTTATGGCTAATAGTAATATTATCATTAGATAATGCTCTCTATTCTTTTATTATTTCGAACTTTTGCACTCTTCTTGATTCATACTGATGTTATTATATACACGAGGTTTCGACCAAGTAATCTCTGATCATCATCAGGTGTCCATTGAATGTTTGGTATGGGATAACTGTTAATTATTGTGATATTTACGGTTAATAGTAACATTACCATTAGATAATAATTCTCTCTATTCTTCTATTATTTAGAATTATTGCTCTCATCTCGATTCATATAGATGCCATTATAGACACGAGGTTTCGATCAAGTAACCTCTGGTCTTCATCAGGTGTCCATTGATTGTCTGGTATGGGATGTCTGTTACTTATTGTGATATTTTAATGCTTTGATATCAGTTATTGTTCGTTTGTTGAATTGGTGCGTCACTACTACATCCAAGAATTGAACTCTAAAGGACATTAGTGGCGTGATTTTGGAGCCTTTTACATTCAATGTCAGTCTTTTTTTAAACATTGAGTCTGTAATAAATTCTATATCAACAAAGATGAGAATCAAAGTTTGAAACAAGAATACCAGTATATTGGAAACTACTAAATTATGAAAAACGATACGAAGCCGTCATCGTAACCAAATGTCAAAAATCCAAAACAAACAAAAATATCCCAGCGTAATGAAACTAACCATAATTTTGATTTAAAATATGTTACTTTAATTAAATGAAAAATCAATATACTAAATATCTACAAAAAGTGCTATGGCTGTACCTCAAGTGCATACATTTAAGCGTGCTACTAGGTTGGTATTTCGGTCCCACCCGTACACTGTCGAAACAGTTAAATGTCTCTTCTACTCCAACAGTTTCTTCTTTCGCACTTCCCGACAGTGGAGCTTCCTTCCTTTTACTTGCTTCCCTGATAGCTATAATCTTCAAATATTCAAATGTAATGTTAATCAACATCTTCTGATGCCTTGATCTTGATCCCCTCCCTTATCTATATCCATTCCTCAAACACCCCTCTTTCCTCTTGCTCTCACTCTCTGTAACCCATTACGTGCTAGTGGCACTCCGGCCTTGCTTGGGGCGAAATGCTTAAGAAAAATCATTTACGCTAAATTCAGGTCATGGTTCTTCTAACTGATTCCCATATTGTATTCATTTCTATGCTCGATCGGCTCAGAATATTTTTGTGGCTTACCATATGTGCTGATTCCTTAAGTTTACGAATTTTCCAATGGTATTCTTTGTCTATGATCTCAACCTGATCCCACAGAGGGCGATGATCTCCCTTCTCTCTCCATATGCGGCCAGCTACGCTTGATTTTTCCATTTCCCCTCATGTTACAGCTTTCTGGTGTTCTTGAAGCCTTACCTTAAGGGGGCGGCCTGTCTCCCCTTTATATTTCTTTCCGCAGTCTTTAGTCATGTTCTTCTCTATGGGTGGGGGAGTCTTACTCGAGAGAGATATCTGCGAAGTGTCGTCAAGCTTTTGAAGGTTGTCCTGATGTTATATGGACCGCAGATCCTTTGTATTTTCTCTGATAACCCCTTCACATAAGGCAGGCGGACTGTTTTCTGAGTGATATTTCACTTTTCTTTGTGTTATCACAATATCGGATATTTAATAACAAAAGTCATAAAGACAAAAGAGAAAAGGAAAGAGATTGGCTTGAATTAAAAAAAAGAACTAAAATTCCAGCGTTCACAGATCTTCAGCGTTTTCTCTCGGTGCGAAATTATGACAGAAGCCTGTGGTTTTATATCGTATACCCTTCCTTCTGGACATATATAATTCCACTGACAAAAAAAAAATAAAATAAATAAAAGAATACTGTAGTCCAATGGAGCCATTCTAGACGAAAATCGTTATTCAGAATTTGTCATTCATTTGCCTAATATTTTTCTGATATATAGAAATGTATCTATCATATTAGGCCCTAGACAACTAGGTAAAAAGATATACAGATGGATTGATATAGAGATTTCTTTTACCTCCTTAAATATAAACAGATTTATCGATGGTGTCATTTATCTGTGGGGGAAAAAATCAAGACGAAGAAGAAATATCTATTAAGCGTTGCAAGAATTATAAAAACAACGATATAGCTATTGTTAACGATATGTTAAGCAAAAAAAAGAATAATAGCCACTGACAGTGAAACTCATTTGTAGCTCCCGACAGGTGCCTTACTCCATTCAGCGAAGCCGATGTCATCTAAGTATCTGTCAGCGTGGTGCCTCTTTTCGTTGGATAAAATTACAATGTGGTCGAGTGCGCTTTCTCGGTGACAGATGCAAAACTGATCCGATCCGATCCTTTCCACTAAGACACGGCCATCGTTTTCACGCCACACATTCGTGTCGGCAAACATGCATCAAGTTTTTAAGGATTTTCCTTGGCGCTTTTTCCTTCATATTGCCTGCCTGCCTGCCTGCCTGCCTTTCTTTCTTTCTTTCTTTCTTTCTTTTACTTTTCGGTATCTTTCTTTTCCTTACCATTCTTTTTCTTTTCATCATCCATTTTCTTTCTTTCTTTCTTTCTTTCTTTTTTTCTTTCTTTCTTTCTTTCTTTCTTTCTTTCTTCTTTCCATTATCCTTGTTTTTTGCCTTTTCTTCTCAGTATCCTTTTCTTTTTCTTTCTTTCTTTCTTTCTTTCTTTCTTTCTTTCTTTCTTTCTTTCTTTCTTATTTTAATATTCACCTTTAGGCATATTTTCCATATATGTATATCAATCCTTCTTTCTTTTCATTGTCCTTTTTTCTTTCTTTTCAGTAACCTTTTCTCCCATTTTTCTATTTCTTTCATTCTTTCATTCTTTCTTTCTTTCTTTCTTTCAGTATATATCAATCTATCATTTCAATATCTATCTTTCGGTATCTTTTCAATATATGTATATCTATCTTTCTTTCTTTTCATTATCCCTTTTTCTTTCCTTTCAGTAACCTTTTCTTTCTTTCTTTCTTTCTTTCTTTCTTTCTTTCAGTATCTTTCTATCTATCTCTGTATCATTTCAATATCCATCTTTCGTTAACTTTTCAATGTATATATCTATATCTTTCTTTTTTCTTTCTTTCTTTCTTTCTTTCTTTCTTATCCTTTGTCTTTTTCTTCTTTCTTTTCTTAATCCATTTGCTTTCTTCTTTCTTTTATTCTTTCTTTCTTCTACCTATTTTTGTTTCTTTTTCGTTTTCACTTTTCGTTTATACGTTATGCATTTTAATCTCTACTTTCTTCTTCCTCCCTCCCTTCCTTCCTTCCTCCCTCCCTTCCTTCCTTCCTTCCTTCCTTCCTTCCTTCCTTCCTTCCTTCCTTCCTTCCTTCCTTCCTTTGATCATCTATTTCTTATTCTTTTCTAAGCTGTTTGCATGTTTATCCCCAGATTCCATTTCATACACATTTTTTCAGAACAACATCCATAAGAATATATATATATATATATATATATATATATATATATATATATATATATATATATCAGCTAGGTTTTGATGTGCGAATATCTTGAAGCATATTATGCACACACAAACCCAAATTAAATATGTATGAAACAATATCTTCCATAGCATGACTCAGATGAACTCACACCATGTTTGTCTTTGCACGGAGTGGACCTCTTTTCCTGTCATTCCAGACTCGACCTCAACAGGCTCTTCTTCGAGAAAAGGAAGATGTCATCTCCAAGATAATGGTGAAAGCCACGTCTATTACACATTCATCAATGTCCAATAAAAACTGGCGCTGTAATACCATTATTGACCTGCTGATTCTGTACATGAATACGCGGGAAAAGAACGACATTCTTGAGTGTCAGCAATATTTATAGCCCTTCTTTCTCTCTGTATGTGTATATGTGTCTATATATCTGTGTGTATTTAAATGTCTGCTCGATTTCTTTCTTGCATGTCTGTCTTTATTTTGAACGACTTTTTTCTACTGTCAACTAATGTTATAAAAAAGGCTTTTGTTTGTATCGTCTGCTCAGTAAATTTGTAAACTCTCTTTTCTTTTCTTTCTTTCTTTCTTTCTTTCTTTCTTTCTTTCTTTCTTTCTGTCCGGGTTTTGTTCTGTTTTTTCTCGCTGCCTTTCTAACTTTTCCCCTCTTTAGTTAGTTTTGAAAGGAAACTTCATGAAAACTAGAAAGAGTGATAACATCATATTGACCTCTGAGCGCGAAAATGACCTTGAATAAGCTGTTAACTGGTGTAAGAAAAGAATTGTTAATCTTAACGTCTCCAAATCGAAATTGCTCTCATTTAATCGTATTCGATAACCATTTGCCTAACTCCCAGAAGAATGACTTATAGCGCCTTCTCATATTAAAGAGGAAGGATTATATTGAATCACTTGCTAGGACTGCTGCTAGGAGGGCTGCTTCATGTTTCATGCCAGACACTATCGTCTCGTCTTAATCTATCTTGCACCTTTACCTATTCGTATGTGCAGTGAATATTTCTACCGCGTCTGTCATGCATCTTTTTGTGAAGTACAGTGGCCGTTAATGATTAAGTATAACTCAAGACTTCAATGTTAAGATGAAACAGTATTTAATTACAACCGCAAATAAATACTTAACAAGAACAAAGACGTAGACGCTAACCAAAAATAATTAACCATTACAATAAATGCCCTGTTAGTAGCGCGGCTCAGCTTAACGTCCGGTAAATCCTAAATCAAAACCCAAATCATCGACGCACAATAACTCACACTAGTTCGACTGAATAGTTCCAATCAAGAGTCACTCAATAATCACTTCAGTCAGTAGCCTGACAGCGCTATTTATACACCTAGTGGAAAACGTATAAGTCCAAAGTAACACGCTCGAACCTCAATGTCGGTAGTTATTCATTTTCTTCCTATATGGTAGGTTTAAAGATTACAGTAGACGCTGTTAAATATACAATGCAAGATACAATCTAAGAATAATTTTACACATTTAGGGACGTATTCCTGATTCGGCCGTAATTTTCTTTAAATTTAATAACTCAAAAAGGAAGAATTTGCAGACATAAGTTTATATGAACTTTTGTCCTTGTTTTGGTGTGAGGAATCCGTCCCCAAATGTTTATAAAATTATTTTTTATATATACTATAAATTTTTATTTTATTTAGTGTGTATTTAATTTAGTCTTTTTGTGACGTACGATGGCCGTTAATAATTAAATATAACTCAAGACCTCAATGTTAAGATAAAACAATATTTAATTACAACCGCAAATAAATACTTAACAAGAACAATGAAGTAAACGTCAACCAAAGATAATTAACCATTTCAGTGAATACCTTGTTAGTAGCACAGCTCAGCTTAACGTCCGGTAAATCCTAAATCAAAACCCAAAGTATTGACACACAATAATTCACTCTAATTCGACTGGATAGTTCCACTAAATAATCACTCAATAATCACCACAGTCAGCAGCCTGACACCGTGGAAAGCATATATTCATAAGTGCACAGTGTCACGATCAAACCTCTGTGACGGTAGTTACTCATTTTCTTCCTATATGACACATTTAGAGGTCATAGATGTTGGCCTGGCATCTCGGCTACGGTCCTTTACCCACCACCGTAACACAGCTTCCCAGTACCTATTCTATAAATATTAGTTAGTTGTTGTGATGAGCTTGTTATCAGGCTGCGTGTTCTTTGGCCTATGTATAACTTTTGTATAATGATTAAAGACAACAAAGAAACTCCAAATGTGAATCAACAAGTCTATATTGAAATAACATACATGAATATTGTGTGCAATGTATAGATTAAGGGAAAAGAAGTTGCTTCCCTTGTACCGTATTTTGATTTGTATTTGATTGTTTAAAAGAAAGTTCTTGTGAGAGAAAAAAGTTCAGGAATCAATATTAGGACAAAGGACTGTTTGAATAGATAACACAAGAATACAATTGATCAGAAAGTGTGTTGTGTCAGAGAAATTAACAGAGAGATATGCATATACGTATTACAAAATTCTGTGTGTGCGGTTGAAGTGTTGCGAGTAAAGTCATAGGTTTGTGTTGACAGGCGAAATTTGCTGGACTCTACTGGCGACTTGTGAAAAAGTCGGTAAGAGTTGTTGTCGATGTTCTTTAACGTCTGACTGCACGGTTAAGACTGGAGCTCTTGAAGACTACATCTTGGCAGCAAGGAAAAAGATGGACGAAGAGAACGAGAGAGGTTTATTCGTGTTTTGTTTATATAAGGTTGTGTCTCACGTGACAGGATCCCAGCCTTGTACGCGGGAAATCTTATTACTCGCGTGCAGGTGATCTGATTGGTCGGAATTGACCAATCAGCGAGGTATCAGGTCATCCCATAGGTTCTGTCCGAATTTTGAATAAAGAAAAAAGTGACCAAATGTTACATTTAATTACAGATTTAATCAACAATGCATTTTTCCTGATTATCTATGACTTCCTTCCATCTATTAACATGTTTATTAATTCCATTACTGTAAAATTCTTTTTGGCTTTGATTCGAAGAACTCACAAATGTCAGTTTTAACATCTTCCTGTGTTACAAAAGCTGTTTCTTCCAAATGATTCTGTAAGCTACAGAACAAATGGTAGTCTGAAGGAGCAAGATCAGGAGAATAAGGTGGATGAGGAATTTTCTCCCAACCAAGTTCTTCGGTCTTTTGTGACGTGATTCTTGCTGTGTGGGGTCGCGCATTGTCCTGATGAAACATCACCTCTTTTTGATTCATTAGAGCAGGTCTTTTTTTCCTCAAAGCTTGGTTCAAACGATCTAATTGCTGACAGTATATTTGAGCATTAATTGTTGCATTAGGTGGTAAAAATTCAAAGTGGATTATTCCTTGGCGATCCGACCAGATTGAAAGAAGAACCTTTTGCCCACGAAGTTCCCTTCTCGGCTGTGGCTGGGGTGCTTCCTCTTTACCAAGCCACTGTCTACGACGCTTAACATTTCGATAAAAGATCCATTTTTCGTCGACAGTCGCAAGTCTATCCAAAAAAGGTGAAACAAGTTGGCTAGAATAGAGAGAAGAGCAGATGTCAACTCGGTATTTGAGGTTGTTTTCAGACAATTCATGAGGCACCCATTTTCCAAGTTTAGGAACTTTTCCAAGTTGTTGAAGATGACGATGAACAGTTGTATGTTTTGAAACGAGAACCACTGCCAATTCCTCAACTGATAGGATTTTCTTCAAGGGCTGCTTCAAGAAGCTTTTCATCAAACTCAACTGGACGTCCAGTTCGATCTTCATCTTCAAGGGTGAAATCTCTACCTCTGAATTTTGCAAACTATCTTCTGCAAGTTCTTTCATTCACACATTCCTCTCCATAAACTGAGTGAATGTTTCTAGCCGTTTCGGCTGCTGAGTTTCCTTTCTTGAACTCATAAAGCATTATGTGCCTCAAATGATTCTTGGGTACTTCCATGTTAGCAGCGTTTTCATCAAACAAAATTTAATTTCATTGTTCTCTGAAATAAAATTTGATCAGTTTAAATGCATCTAAACACAAAAATAATGTTCAACTCAATTAGACATTATAAAATACTCTTTAAATTTCGTTCATAAGTTATGGGATGACCTGATAGTTTTGAGGAGAATAACCAATGAATGCATATCGTATGATCTGTATGTATGTATGTGTGTGTGATGGCGATGATGATCGCTACAAGCTATCCTTTTTGGTATCACGACTTCATGAAATTAAGCGCAGTACTAGATTGGCAGCTAGGTCTCATCATTTTACTGTTGAAATGGCTAGATGTAACCGTAAGTTCTATGCTAACAGTTTCTTCTGTCGTACTTCTCGCTTGTAGAATTCGCTTCTGGCTTCTTGCTTTCCTATCGAAGATTTTCAAAAATTTAAGTGCAGTGTCAAACGTCATTTTTGTCTCCTTGAATCCTGGTCTGTTATTGTGTTCTGTCTCCCCAATAACATTTTCTCAGTCTCCTTCCGTCTCACTGACCCCTTGTGTCTTAGTGGCTTTATCGCCTTTTTTTGAGGTTAAATTATGAAGAAATCGTAAAAGGTGATTTTCTTTGTATCGTCTGCTTAGCGGAACTAGCCGTTTCTTTTTTTTATTCATTCTTTTGTCTATTCTTTCTTTCTTTGCATTTTTCATTTCTTTGATTTGTTTACTCGTTGTTTTTGGCACTTAAAATTTTTGTCTTCTGCTTTAATGAGGTTAGGAAGGAAACCCCATCAATACGAGAAAAACCGATAAAAGTAGAATTGAGTAGACGACCTTCTTGAAAAGAAAAGTGTTTTTTTTTTTTTTATAGAAAAAAATGACTTTCAATCGAAAGTAATTCTAGTTGTTCGCTCAATCAACGCGGAGTGTTTCCTTATAAAGGAACGTCCAGTCTCACTATCTCCATAAACATTATCATTTTCTTAAAAAGCAACTCTTTTATAAATTTCTGTTTATCTTGGCTCTCTAAGTGAGCGCTCGGAGTAGAGCATCGATTTGTAGATTTGTCGCACAGGTGAGTTCACACGCCACTAGTTATTTTACGATAGCAACTTTACGCCCTTCAGATGTAAACTTGCTCACGTAAAAAGTTAGTCTCTAAATTTATTATTAGGGAAACAGTGAGTTCGATTCTCACAATCGCCCGGTTCACACTCCTCGCCGTTCTTTTGAACAGGTGTAGAGGTTTATCTCTTGTTTTCTGTTTAGGTTTAGGCTTCCGGTTCCTTCGAAATTTTATTCCAATTCTATATTTCTAACGTCTCTGCCTAAACTCTGAAATTTTATTTACAATTTATTTGTTTTTATTTTTCCCTCAATGGTGGTAGATATGTTCATCTACCGTCCCGTTCACACCCCTCCCCGATCTATTGAGAAGAGTAGCGGTTTATCCCTTGTTTCATATTTAGGATTGAGTTTACGTTTCCTTCTAAAGTCTTTTCATTCTCTTTCACTCCCAGTACCCCCATTGCGTCTTAGTGGCGTTATAGCCTTTCTTGGGGTGAATTGATAAAAAATCCTGTTAAAAACATACCGAGTTTTACAGTAAAATTGTGTAATTGTTAGATAACGCTCTGAAGCGTTGTATCTTAGAAATGATTAAAGATATATTATTGGAATTCTGCGCGGTTTTTCTAACACTATTGGACTCTACTTAGAACAATTATATTTA